AAATAACTAACAAAAATGTTTCTTAATAGGAGTTTTTTTTTTTTAATATTGTAAAAATCTATGAAACAATACACAGATCTATTGTAAATAAATTGGAGTAAAAATTAAATTTGTTTAACATATATACTTTTATAATGGACGATGAATGGGATGAATGTCATTAAGCAAAGACATGTCGAGTGTGTTGTAGAAGCTTCAAATGCTAATTATTAATTGTGCCTGTCGTCTGCTGACAACTGTCCAAGTATTTCCAGTGGTTGTCCTTTCAAGCTCGTTGCCAGATATACTGCTTTCTGCTCCTCTGTCCATCCATTCATTGCTGCCAGTAGCTCAAATTGTGCTCCATACGCTTCCCACGGTGCTTTCCCATCGTATTTCTGTGGCTTCCTTCGTACTGGATCACTCCTATTACTGACATTCATATCTGGGATGTGACTTCTAACAGGACTGAAGATGTCTGCATTATGGTTTAACTGCAGGGTCTGGAAGGGGCTTCCTGTTGTCTGGGGCTGATTACGTCGATGGTTAATGTATTCTCCTTGTTTAAAAGACAATAAATCGTCCTTTAATGTATCTAATTCGCTTTTGAATTTACTAATGTTTTCAATTTGTACTTCTTGTTTCCTTTCTTGTTCCAGTTGCCACTGCTGTAGTCTCTCTTCTTGTTTATGTTCTTTCTCCTCCAACAACTGCTGTAATTTATCTTCTTGTTTAATTTGCTGTTCGAGTTGCCATTGTTGCAGGTTTTCTTGCAACTGCTGTTTTCTCTCTTCTTGTTTCTTTTATTTTTCCTCCAACAGCTGTTGTAATCTCTCTTCTTGTTTCTTTTCTGTTTCCTCCAACAACTGTTGTAATCTCTCTTCTTGTTTCTTTTCTCGTTCTTCTTGATTCTTTTGCTGCTCTTGTATAGCTGCCATCAAATCTGCTAAGCTGTAGTTTGATTTGCCGCTTCTCGTTTCCATTTTTTATCCCACTTCTGACACCAATTTGTTACGTCTCCGTTCGTTAGTTAATTTTCCGTAAATTCGTTCTGACGAAACTTTAGCGACACAAGTCCTTTCTTAAATAAAACTGGTTTATTCTTTCTGAATATAACTTTGCGATACACTTAATTTCAACAGTCGCGCTATAATTCTCAACGAACGTCTCACGTGCTCGACTTCAACAATACTCAGTTCAATTACACACTCTCTGACTGCAGTTCAATTACTCCACTGTTCTGTCACGTTGAGACCGTCTTATATATACCAGACTACCCCAATCTAGTAGTCTCCCGATAATTCACGAAGGTTCGAGAAGGACGTGGCGTGATACTAGTCACGTGACCTCGATGACGCAACAGTATTATAAAGTATAACAACAGCAACTTGATCAAGTTCTGCATTTGTTATTCAAAGTTAAACTTATAACACAATTCACTGTATTTTTTCTACAATAGTCTCACTAAAAACTATAAAAGCATTTCTTTCAAAAATTTAAACATCATAAACCTACACGCTTTATTATTCTTATAACAATGCCAATGAGCATGAGATTATAAAGGAAATTAAATGCACCGATGCAGACCTAACTATTAAACTTGCTCTAGACTATGAAATCTAGGTTTAAGCTCTTCGAAAATCGTACCGATAATTCTGATGACGTCTCCTGTACCGGATTTACTAGCTTGCCCCTCAAGCAATAATGGGAAAAAATATGTGCATATTATTTTATCTACATGCTCATCTGGGGCTTTGAGAGTTTGACGCTACCAGTCTGTGCTTGGTGGTTTTTTTAAACTTAGGCAAAATATAGAGCACTGGTAGCGGCTCTAGAACTCAGGTACGGAACGCAAAATCAGTTGGAAATCTACAGGGCTAGGTTTAGGACGAGAATCCGTGTTAAAGGGGATAGCCTGCAAGAGCTGGCACAAGACTTGGAAAGCATGGTACACAAGGCCTACCCAACTACACCACCCGATCTCCTCAAGTTGTTGCTGAGGGATCAGTTTGTAGATGCCTTGGACAGTCCACAACTTAAGATACAAGTGAAGCAAGCACACCCCTCTACCATGCAGGATGCAAAGGCCAGAGCTCTCGAATTTGAATCCTACGTTAAGTCCAGCACAGAGGTACGGAGGTTGGTACAGTCATCTGGATTCAAGGCAGAAAAGGTCAGCTTTCAGAGAGATTTGAGGGACTTTGCTGGCACTGTAACAAATTTGGGCACAGGAGAGCTCAATGTTGGCAATTTCAACACAGGGGAGGTGTCACAGCAGGAAAGGCTGGTATACAGAAAGGTTGTTGGAACTGTGGAAAGCACGGACATTTGAGGAGCCAGTGTAGGAAGAATATTACCAACAAGTCGGCCTCAAGGAGACCAGTAGTGGTTGGTGTTGAGCGACGCCCACCAACCCCCATCATGAAAGTACCAACGGCTTGGTATAGAATGCCAAGCACACACAGTGTCTATGTGACAGGAAAGCTAGATGGCCAAAGGTGCAACTTTGTCATAGACTCTGCGTCTCAGCAAACCCTTGTGAGCATCAAGGTGTTAGATCACGAAGGAGT